TCCTCACGTGTGCCCCAAAGAATGAGGTGATTTGGTGAAATGCTATGCCCAAGATTACCATCCGAGTTGCCGGCGGGGAAGTGGTTCAAATAGCTTCGGCTACCACTTCCTTTTGTCCGGCCGTGATGGTCAAGCGGATTAAGGCGCCCTGTAGTTACCAGTTGCGTTGCTCCTGGGAGTATGGGTTCGAGTCACTTCTGGGGTGTGAGTTTTCAGTCGCATATAGTCCTGGGGACCATTCAGGCTTGTTTGCATTTGTGTTCCTCATGTGTGCCCCAAAGAATGAGGTGATTTGGTGAAATGCTATGCCCAAGATTACCATCCGAGTTGCCGGCGGGGAAGTGGTTCAAATAGCTTCGGCTGCCACTTCCTTTTGTCCGGCCGTGATGGTCAAGCGGATTAAGGCGCCCTGTAGTTACCAGTTGCGTTGCTCCTGGGAGTATGGGTTCGAGTCACTTCTGGGGTGTGAGTTTTCAGTCGCATATAGTCCAGGGAACCTTTCAGGCTTGTTTGCATTTGTGTTCCTCACGTGTGCCCCAAAGAATGAGGTGATTTGGTGAAATGCTATGCCCAAGATTACCATCCGAGTTGCCGGCGGGGATGTGGTTCAAATAGCTTCGGCTACCACTTCCTTTTGTCCGGCCATGATGGTCAAGCGGATTAAGGTGCCCTGTAGTTACCAGTTGCGTTGCTCCTGGGAGTATGGGTTCAAGTCACTTCTGGGGTGTGAGTTTTCAGTCGCATATAGTCCTGGGACCATTCAGGCTTGTCTGTATTTCTGTTCCTCACGTGTGCCCCAAAGAATGAGGTGATTTGGTGAAATGCTATGCCCAAGATTACCATCCGAGTTGCCGGCGGGGAAGTGGTTCAAATAGCTTCGGCTACCACTTCCTTTTGTCCGGCCGTGATGGTCAAGCGGATTAAGGCGCCCTGTAGTTACCAGTTGCGTTGCTCCTGGGAGTATGGGTTCGAGTCACTTCTGGGGTGTGAGTTTTCAGTCGCATATAGTCCTGGGGACCATTCAGGCTTGTTTGCATATATATATATATATATATATATATATATATATATATATATATATATATATATATATATATATATGCATCGTAGAGAGAATAGAGGGTCTTCTGCCAAATATCCGTAAAACTAAACCTGAAGACAGCACACTCCTAGGAGCTCCCCTGGGGTTGAAAGCCATCGATGAGGTCCTTGATAAGAAAATCGCCGACCTTAAGAGGATGGATGGGAGGATTGAGGATATTGATGCTCATGATGCACTCTACCTCATCACCAGATGTCTGTCCCTCCCCAGGTTAACCTACTTTCTGAGGTGTTCACCATCTTACAGTAGCCAAAAACTAAGTGAGTATGACCGGTTACTGAAATCAATGCTAGAAAAAGCCCTTAACCTCTCTCTCGATGACCTACAGTGGAAACAAGCCTCTCTTCCCGTAAGACTTGGGGGCCTCGGAGTTCGAACAGCAACGCAAATCGCTGTTCCAGCCTTCCTGTCCTCCTTATCAGCATCCGACGACCTTGTGAAGGAAATTCTACCTGCCCACTTACATCAGCTGGCAGGTGTACATGATCCCAATTTTACACGCTGTGCCACAGAGTGGGCCTCTCGTGCAGGCCAATCACCTCAACCACCATCCCCAAAAGCCCACAAGCAATCCAGCTGGGATGGCCCCATTGTAGACCAAGTTGCTGCAGAGTGCCTGGGTGCTGCAAAAACACAACACGACATTGCTCGCCTCACAGCAGTAGCAGCACCACATGCAGGGGATTTCTTGTTAGCAACCCCAATGTCGGCAACTGGCACACGTCTCACACCACACGCCCTCCGAATTGCTGTGGCCCTCCACCTTGCTGCCCCAATCCACACCAGATATAGGTGTATTTGCGGCGAGTTGGTGGCTGACAGGTACGGCCACCATGGCCTACTCTGCCAAAGCACAGGGGGATGGCACTCGAGGCACAGTGAAGTTAACGACATCATCAAGAGGAGCCTCACCACAGCTGGATGCCCAGCTGAAAGAGAGCCCCGTTACCTAACGCCCCGTAACTCTGATGCTCTTATTGGTTGCCCGGATGGTATCACAGTGAACCCCTGGAAGAATGGCAAGCAGTTGGTATGGGACTACACGTGCGTATCAACCCTGGCTAACACCTACATTAACCTCAGTGTTGCACAACCAGGTGGCGCTGCCACCCACAGGGAAGCAGCCAAATCCCGTAAGTATAGAGAACTGGATCACCACTACAATTTTGTCCCCATTGCTTCTGAGACACTCGGCGCCTGGGGTAAAAGTGCTACCAGTTTTTTTAAGGAACTGGGTTCTAGGCTCATTGAAACGACAAGGGACCCAAGAGCTGCAAGCTTTCTTTTCCAGCGCCTCAGTGTGGCGATACAGAGGGGAAATGCGCACTGCATCCAGGGTTCCTGCCCGCTATCTGAGGAGCTGGAGGAACTCGACAACCTATGATAACCATCTTTGTAACCCATATGTAACTCCTTTTTTGTAACAAAGTTCAAATAAAGTAAATATATATGTGTACATACAAAAGAATGGGGGTGGTAGGAGAAGATAATATTAGTGTTCAGTGAGAAACCACAAGGTCTCCTCTGAATACTTTTTATTTTCTTCTCCGAGGCTATGGGTCCCCACATTAGCACCAGAGGTGGTACCCTCACAAACTTTTATATATATATATATATATATATATATATATATATATATATATATATATATATATATATATATATATATTTATTTATTTATTTATTTATTTATTTATATATATACAAGAAGGTACATTGGGGAAGGTACATTGGGTTTGTGAGAATACATTGGATAGTACAGTATTTACATTCTTGCAAAGCCACTAGTACGCGCAGCGTTTCGGGCAGAAACGAGGACTTGGGGGCCTCGGAGTTCGAACAGCAACGCAAATCGCTGTTCCAGCCTTCCTGTCCTCCTTATCCTCCTCCTTAGCCTCTAGGATTAGGTGGGACGGCCTCCTGGTTTAAGGGGACGGCTTCTGGTTTAGGGGGACGGCCTCCTGGTTTAGGTGGGACGGCCTCCTGGTTTAGGTGGGACGGCCTCCTGGTTTAAGGGGACGGCTTCTGGTTTAGGGGGACGGCCTCCTGGTTTAGGTGGGACGGCCTCCTGGTTTAAGGGGACGGCCTCCTGGTTTAGGGGGACGGCCTCCTGGTTTAAGGGGACGGCTTCTGGTTTAGGGGGACGGCCTCCTGGTTTAGGTGGGACGGCCTCCTGGTTTAAGGGGACGGCTTCTGGTTTAGGGGGACGGCCTCCTGGTTTAGGTGGGACGGCCTCCTGGTTTAAGGGGACGGCTTCTGGTTTAGGGGGACAGCCTCCTGGTTTAGGTGGGACGGCCTCCTGGTTTAAGGGGACGGCTTCTGGTTTAGGTGGGACGGCCTCCTGGTTTAGGGGGACGGCCTCCTGGTTTAGGTGGGACGGCCTCCTGGTTTAAGGGGACGGCTTCTGGTTTATGTGGGACGGCCTCCTGGTTTAGGGGGACGGCCTCCTGGTTTAGGTGGGACGGCCTCCTGGTTTAAGGGGACGGCTTCTGGTTTATGTGGGACGGCCTCCTGGTTTAGGGGGACGGCCTCCTGGTTTAGGTGGGACGGCCTCCTGGTTTAAGGGGACGGCTTCTGGTTTAGGTGGGACGGCCTCCTGGTTTAAGGGGACGGCTTCTGGTTTATGTGGGACGGCCTCCTGGTTTAGGGGGACGGCCTCCTGGTTTAGGGGGACGGCCTCCTGGTTTAGGGGGACGGCCTCCTGGTTTAAGGGGACGGTCTCCTGGTTTAGGTGGGACGGCCTCCTGGTTTAAGGGGACGGCTTCTGGTTTATGTGGGACGGCCTCCTGGTTTAGGGGGACGGCCTCCTGGTTTAGGGGGACGGCCTCCTGGTTTAGGGGGACGGCCTCCTGGTTTAAGGGGACGGCCTCCTGGTTTAGGTGGGACGGCCTCCTGGTTTAGGTGAGACGGTCCCCTGGTTTAGGGGGACGGCCTCCTGGTTTAGGGGGACGGCCTCCTGGTTTAGGGGGACGGCCTCCTGGTTTAGGGGGACGGCCTCCTGGTTTAGGTGGGACGGTCTCCTGGTTTAAGGGGACGGCCTCCTGGTTTAGGTGGGACGGCCTCCCGGTTTAGGTGAGACGGTCCCCTGGTTTAGGGGGACGGCCTCCTGGTTTAGGGAGACGGCCTCCTGGTTTAGGTGAGACGGTCCCCTGGTTTAGGGGGACGGCCTCCTGGTTTAGGAGGACGGCCTCCTGGTTTAGGAGGACGGCCTCCTGGTTTAGGGGGACGGCCTCCTGGTTTAGGAGGACGGCCTCCTGGTTTAGGTGGGACGGCCTCCTGTTTAGGGGGACGGCCTCCTGGTTTAGGGGGACGGCCTCCTGGTTTAGGAGGACGGCCTCCTGGTTTAGGTGGGACGGCCTCCTGTTTAGGGGGACGGCCTCCTGGTTTAGGGGGACGGCCTCCTGGTTTAGGGGGACGGCCTCCTGGTTTAGGGGGACGGCCTCCTGGTTTAGGGGGACGGCCTCCTGGTTTAAGTGGTACGGCCTCCTGGTTTAGGTGGGACGGCCTCCTGTTTAGGGGGACGGCCTCCTGGTTTAGGTGGGACGGCCTCCTGGTTTAGGTGGGACGGCCTCCTGGTTTAGGGGGACGGCCTCCTGGTTTAGGGGGACGGCCTCCTGGTTTAGGTGGGACGGCCTCCTGGTTTAGGTGGGACGGCCTCCTGGTTTAGGTGGACGGTCTCCTGGTTTAGGGGGACGGCCTCCTGGTTTAGGGGGACGGCCTCCTGGTTTAGGTGGGACGGCCTCCTGGTTTAGGTGGGACGGCCTCCTGGTTTAGGTGGGACGGTCTCCTGGTTTAGGTGGGACGGCCTCCTGGTTTATGGGGACGGTCTCCTGGTTTAGGGGGACGGCCTCCTGGTTTAGGGGGACGGCCTCCTGGTTTAGGGGGACTACCTCCTGGTTTAGGTGGGACGGTCTCCTGGTTTAGGGGGACGGCCTCCTGGTTTAGGTGGGACGGCCTCCTGTTTAGGGGGACGGCCTCCTGGTTTAGGTGGGACGGCCTCCTGGTTTAGGGGGACGGCCTCCTGGTTTAGGGGGACGGCCTCCTGGTTTAGGGGACGGCCTCCTGGTTTAGTGGGACGGCCTCCTGGTTTAGGGGGACGGCCTCCTGGTTTAGGGGGACGGCCTCCTGGTTTAGGGGGACGGCCTCCTGGTTTAGTGGGACGGCCTCCTGGTTTAGGGGGACGGCCTCCTGGTTTAGGGGGACGGCCTCCTGGTTTAGGTGGGAATACGGAATAATAGAACATAAAAACGACGGAAGAGCGAATAATTGAGTGTAACGTAGACTAACAACGTTCTGAAGCACCTCTGTTGACTGCTCGATATTTTGAATTATAAATCAAATTTGTAGAAAAATTCTCTCGGCCTACGTCTGCTGCGTAAGCAGTTCCTAATATATAATTTCTCAAAATGATTCTTGAAATATTATTATACTTCAATTAGTTCTCGATAATCTGTTGTGTTTATTAACTTTGTGTTTGTTTATAGCTAGACTTTTTCAAGTTAATTACCTTATTTTAAACTTTAAGAAAGAAACATCAAGAACAAAGGATTTATTATTGAAGGATTCTTAAGAACATACAGAACAAACCTTTTAAAGTTGAATAATTCAAAGAGAAACCTCCAACTATAACATTCTTAGAGCATCCTCTAGCTATGACATTCTTAGAGCAACCTCCAGTTATGATATTCTTAGAAAAACCTCCAGTTACGATATTCTTTGAGAAACCTCCAACTATAATATTCTTAGAGAAACCTCCAGTTATGATATTCTTCGAAAAACCTTCAGCTACGACATTCTTTGAGAAACCTCCAAATATAACATTCTTAGAGAAACCTCCAGTTATGATATTCTTAGAAAAATCTCCAGTTACGACATTCTTTGAGAAACCTCCAACTGTAACATTCTTAGAGCAACCTCCAGCTATAACATCTTAGAGCATCCTCCAGCTATGACATTCTTAGAGCAACCTCTAGACGAAACACCTAAGGTTAAAACATTCTTGAACTTTCCCGACCAGAGTGTCCGGACTAGAAGGATCATGGAGTAACAATGTCCACCAGGCATCGTCCTGGCCAATACGTCGTATGTAGACTAGCTAATGTAAACCAGCAAGCCAAATGAAGACAATGCTAGACCTACACGTCCAGGCTGAATCATCCTGAAACATCCTGTGGCGGCTTTACACTCAGGGGAGCTGGTCGGCCGAGCGGACAGCACGCTGGACTTGTGATCCTGTGGTCCCAGGTTCGATCCCGGGCGCCGGCGAGAAACAATGGGCAGAGTTTCTTTCACCCTATGCCCCTGTTACCTAGCAGTAAAATAGGTACCTGGGTGTTAGTCAGCTGTCACGGGCTGCTTCCTGGGTGTGGAGTCCTGGTCGAGGACCGGGCCGCGGGGACACTAAAGCCCCGAAATCATCTAAAGATAACCTCAAGATAGGCCTGGCATCAGGGCCGCGGTCCCTAGCACTAGGTGCGTCAGTGTCCACACACACAGCTGCCCCTGCTATTCACCGTCCGCCTCATTTACATACGGACACCTGGAAGTCTTCATGGCTGGCTCCTTTCAGAGGGGGAGTTGGGTGAGGCCGCCGGCCAGGTAGGGACCAGAACTAAGCAACATGGTCGTAAGCTGGCAAAAGACATGTGTTGGGTAAAGCTGTCTGTCAGAATTATGCTAAGACGGTCTTTGAACACGTCGGCACACATCTGTACACGAGAGACCATAAGACACCAAGGCTTACAATTTGTATTTTAAGGTTACCAGAAAGCTTTCCATACCTCCCGAGGGGCGCTGGGCCTTTCCCAGAAAGCATATCCCAATTAGCGTTAATTATGTAGAAGAAAAAATATTAAATTGCTCAGTTAAATCCGGAAAAAACTAAATTACTAAAATATATGCAGAAAACGTCATGGAGTCAGTTAAATCAGTTACAGCATTGCATATGCACAATTCTTTGTACTAACAAAAGTTTCAAACTGTTTTTAGTTAGGAAGAGAACCGAGCCAAAGGTAACCTGACGAAGCATCATTACCGAACATCAGATGAGGAGATAAAATGGAGGGAACTATTGGTGATCAACGCAGTGTTTGGCGCTCTCATCCTCCATCACTTTATTCACGAAAACAAATGACGATGTTCAGAAAGTGTTAATTGTCATATATGTGAGTGTTTGTAGTTTATTACGTCTCTCTGGCCCAGTTACGTGAGCGTCACTTACGTCAGCCTGGCCCAGCTACGTGAGCATCACTTACGTCAGCCTGGCCCAGCTACGTGAGCATCACTTACGTCAGCCTGGCCCAGTTACGTGAGCATCACTTACGTCAGCCTGGCCCAGCTACGTGAGCATCTCTTACGTCAGCCTGGCCCAACTACGTGAGCATCTCTTACGTCAGCCTGGCCCAACTACGTGAGCATCTCTTACGTCAGCCTGGCCCAACTACGTGAGCATATCTTACGTCAGCCTGGCCCAGCTACGTGAGCATCTCTCACGTCAGCCTGGCCCAGCTAACACTCACGTGTTGGAGAAAATTCCGTTAGATAGACAAAATTTTACGTCAAAAATCTCTAAGACATTAATGCTATATTAGTCCTTTAAACTTGACTTCAGGAAGTATAAATTTAAAGCTAAATATACATCTCAATGTCTTTCTAAGACGTGAACCACCCATACTTGAGTGTAACCCCCACAGTAATGTTGGGTGGGACCCCCTGGACGAACAGACTGCTCAGATGTAAACATACTTTATGATGGACTCAGCTGCGAGTCATCCAACATTATGATCATAATGATCTAATGATCATTAGATCATTGTGATTTACCAAGAGGAAAACATGTAATATCCTTTCCATACGCAAATTAGTGCAGAATAAGGCATAATACAATTGCATTTTAATAACAGTCCACAAAGCAGATTAAAACACATAAGCAGTAATAACAATTGTAAGTTTCTTCATATTATATAGTAGCCTGACAGCCTTTATATCAGGTAAACTAGTCCCTGGTAGCGTCTCAAGTGGTCCGGGGAGGAGAGCTGACAGGAGCGCGGTTGTTAGCTAACTTTAACTGTGCCATTAAGTCTATCGCTTCACACCAGACAATTACAATGTAGTGAAGAGAAATTACTATATAGAGATCTATAGTCATTTCAACCAGTTTTACAATTTATTTATTTATTCTATAAGAAGGAGCGGTTAGAAGTGGGCGAGGCCCTAACAATAGGCCTGTGCAGATCGTTTAGTATTGCCTAGTTACGTGTGAACTAATTATGTATTAACGGATGCTGTGATTAGTTTAGGAGTGCTCTAATATGACATTATTTACATTTACTACAGCAATGTAAAGTTAGACAATTTCTGTCGGGACGAGATTGGTGATTGGATTGTCAACCACCACTGTTGTCAACCACCACTATTGTCAACCACCACTATTGTCAACCACCACTATTGTCAACCATCAGTATTGTCAACCATCACTATTGTCAACCATCAGTATTGTCAACCACCACTATTGTCAACCACCACTATTGTCAACCACCACTGTTGTCAACCACCACTGTTGTCAACCACCACTATTGTCAACCACCACTACTGTCAACCACCACTATTGTCAACCACCACTATTGTCAACCACCACTATTGTCAACCACCATTATTGTCAACCATCACTATTGTCAACCACCACTATTGTCAACCATCACTATTGTCAACCATCACTATTGTCAACCACCACTATTGTCAACCACCACTACTGTCAACCATCACTATTGTCAACCATCACTATTGTCAACCACCACTATTGTCAACCACCACTATTGTCAACCACCACTACTGTCAACCATCACTATTGTCAACCATCACTATTGTCAACCACCACTATTGTCAACCACCACTATTGTCAACCACCACTATTGTCAACCACCACTATTGTCAACAACCACTATTGTCAACCACCACTATTGTCAACAGTGAGCTTAGTGACAGTGATAATGGTGACATGCTCACGGGCCCTGACACCTTCCCACGGGACTTGACACCTCCTCATGGGCCTTGACACCTTCCCACGGGCCTTGACACCTTCCCACGGGCCTTGACACCTTCCCACGGGCCCTGACACCTTCTCACGGGCCCTGACACCTCCCCACGAGCCCTGACACCTTCCCACGGGACTTGACACCTCCTCACGGGCCTTGACACCTTCCCACGGGCCTTGACACCTTCCCACGGGCCCTGACACCTTCCCACGGGCCCTGACACCTTCCCACGGGCCCTGACACCTTCCCACGGGCCCTGACACCTTCCCACGGGCCCTGACACCTTCCCACGGGCCCTGACACCTCCCATCGGGCCCTGACACCTCCCCACGGGCTCTGTCACCTTCCCACGTGCCCTGACACCTCCCCACGGGCCCTGACACCTCCTCACGGGCCTTGACACCTTCCCACGGGCCTTGACACCTCCTCACGGGCCTTGACACCTCCTCACGGGCCTTGACACCTCCTCACGGGCCTTGACACCTCCTCACGGGCCTTGACACCTCACGGGCCTTGACACCTCCCCACGGGCCTTGACACCTCCTCATGAGCCCTGACACCTCCCCACGGGCCCTGACACCTCCCCACGGACCCTGACACCTCCTCAGGGGCCCTGACACATCCCCACGGGCCTTGACACCTCCTCATGAGCCCTGACACCTCCCCACGGGCCCTGACACCTCCCCACGGGCCCTGACACCTCACGGGCCCTGACACCTCCCCACGGGCCTTGACACCTCCTCATGAGCCCTGACACCTCCCCACGGGCCCTTGCACCTCCCCACGGACCCTGACACCTCCTCATGGGCCTTGACACCTTCCCACGGGCCTTGACACCTCCTCATGAGCCCTGACACCTCCCCACGGGCCTTGACACCTCCTCATGAGCCCTGACACCTCCTCACGGGCCCTGACACCTCCCCACGGACCCTGACACCTCCCCACGGACCCTGACACCTCCTCACGGGCCTTGACACCTTCCCACGGGCCTTGACACCTTCCCACGGGCCTTGACACCTTCCCACGGGCCTTGACACCTTCCCACGGGCCCTGACACCTTCCCACGGGCCCTGACACCTCCTCACGGGCTCTGACACCTCCTCACGGGCCCTGACACCTTCCCACGGGCCTTGACACCTCCCCACGGGCCTTGACACCTCCCCATGAGCCCTGACACCTTCCCACGTAGCCCTGACACCTGCCCATGGGC